TTTCAAACAGTTACCTGGTTAGTGGCATGTGTATGCGATGTTAGTTGTTTCTTCTAACGAGGTTATGGGGTGTTTTGTGGGTGCTGATCGCTTACTTAACAAATCACCTCATTTTTCAATCACCAAAGGTGCGATTTTGTCATTTCATGCAGCCAGGGCCTTTATCAGACTTGTATACAGTTTAAGGTAGAATGCCTTGAAAGATGGGTAGGAGGTGGAGTAGGAGGGGGAGAAGGAAAATTGATGGAGCATCTCGGAGCAGTGCTTTGCCCGATTCTACATTTCTAGATTGGTAAATTTGCTCATATAAAGAGTGCGAATTGCATTTGAAAAACCACAAATCAAAGTCCATGTGCGACGGCACAATGAGATGAATATCATGGCTGCCGGATATAACTGGTACGATATGTTGCAATAGCCGTGGGGAATGAAGGTTTAGATAAAACGGTGTGTGTATTGTTGCAGTGTTGGTTAACAAGCGATCCTCTCAGCCTTTTATGCTTCGTGGTCTTTCGGTATAGGATTTTTTCCGGCAGATATCATAGGTACTACCACAATGATTTTAGGCAAATCGTCTATCCTAATGCACATGAACGGCTGAGGAAAACTAGTTACCGATAAAAAGCACTTGGAGCGTAAAATTCTTGAAGGCTTGAATACAAAATTTTAGCAGTTTCGATAGCTTACAACAAAAGTAGACGACTCGGGGAATTTATGTTAAAAACGTCGAAGCAAACTACCTCCAAGAGTAACATGTCTACATAGCCTAAAGCCGCCCTCCTCCATTGCTACTGCTCGTCGAATGTTTTTCAATTTTCACTGCTCTACCAGGGCATACACTATTCTATTGGTCTGATAATGAATAGTCGAAAACGTACATTTGCCGACTTCCCCTTCTTTAAATGTTTACAAGGACATCAGCTCAGAACTTAGGAAGCAATCAAAAATCTACCATGTGTATTAAACACCTCGCGTAGAGGTTGTAGTAGGCATTAATAAAGGTGGGACATCTTCATACGGTAAATATACGCTCACCTGCTTGAGTTTAATCTCATTGTCAGTCAGCATTTGGAAATATCGAGCATAAATAGGGTATGGAGGGTGATTCTCGACCCCCGCGAAAGTGGTCTAAGCTGTAAGGCGGCACTTGCGAGGGACACGCGTTCAAACACGAAAACTCTATCGATCCGTTCCGCCCCTACGGTGAATTCCTGTGTAGCGCTGCGCCGTGTCACCTGAGCCCAGATCATCTTCCAAGCGGGAAATTTTTCGTCAAAACACAGTCTGGATGGTAGCTGTTCGTCGGTTGCAATCACAGGGAGCAACACGACTATTCGTCATTTCCTCTCCCTGCTGGAATTCCATTCCCCATCTAAAACAGAAGTCAGCATATAAACAAAAGTATATGTGACCCAGGGACTTATTTTTGTAACTGGCTCATCCTTCCCAAAACGCTCGGCGGAACCTTGTAATACCTCTGTGGTTGGAACACTGTTTCACTCTTTCCCTTACTCAAGCTTGCCATCAACTGTTTTCTCGGCAACCTATCTCGATGCCTTCATTACGTCACTCATTTTGGAAAAGCTTAGAATTGGTTTTTAGAACCACTTTGTTGAGGTGTGACCTCCTGAGCAGAACCACTTTAAGTCCTAAAAGATTTGGGTTCTGCCACATTTTCCTAAGTATAACTAATGCTTAAACAGGTTTCCAATGCTGCATAAGTGACAGAAAGGCATCCTCTCCGAAGATGGAAACATTAAGATGCTTTCTGAGCAAAGAAAGACTACGAAAAAATTTTGTATGTGCTATTTGCGGCTCAAATTAATGATGAGAAAACTCGCTCTGACATATACCGGACTGAGCACGTCCTTAACTTTATTTTTTAGGCTTACCAGGTCCTCTTCATTTTCGGATCATGATGCCAGGAGGGATACAATTACGTCGACTAACTTATGATGGCCACTAAGTAATGTTTACTACAGTAAATACCAACAACTAGAGAGAGAGAAGATAGTGAGATCTCCAGAAGCTGTTTTAAAAGATCTTTAGTAATTTTCAATTCGAACCGAAAGTGCTCGTGGTTGGCATTAGTGCCCTGAAAAGGACAGCGTGGTAGATGCGCTGGACCAACACGGGGGCTAGATCGGGGTCCGACAGACGTTATTGAGAATGCGCAACCTTAACAAATACCAACATTGGGGTGTAGTGGCAGACCCAGGTTCAAGCCTACGCGGCGCCAAGTGAGCTCCGCGCCGTCCCCCCCTTTTATATTGTGTAAGTCGGTGTAGGTTGAGGGCCAGGGGATGTGACGGCACGCCTAGAGGCGGCTCCGGTCGCGCCAGCCACCTGTGCTCTCTCCCCCTCCGGTCTTCTTGACTGTGGTTTGACGCCGGACCCAGGTGGGGGAGAAGAAAGTGCGGTAGATGCTGCGCAAGCCTACTAGCACTATAAACTAACTCACGCGCAAACTCCTCATCCCCGCTCCCACCCTGCTGTGGAGCACACGGTGAACATCATCGGAAACGACTGTCAAACGGCCAGTTGACACGACGAAGCATTTGCGGGTGGACAGTCTAACCGGGTATCTGAAAGGCGGGATATGACCAGGAGTGAGTCTGTGACGGGGGGTTGAGTACTAAAATCAGTAGCTGCGAGTGTTATGGTCAGAAGAATGAGCATACCCTAACCAACACGATTCCAAGGCCCAGTTCTGCTTAGAGGCATAAGGTAAAGGGCACCACCAGGGGGCATTAGAGCCCTCGAAGAGCAGTCGACTTTAGGAATGCTCCTGCCCGCCCGCAAGGGTGTTCTGTCTGAAAGAATGTCTCACGTGATAGTCAACTTAGCGAGCTGATTCGGTGGTCCCAGCGTATGTAGGCGTCTGTGCTTGGGTGCTCTTGGGGCTGTATGTGCGTACTAATCATCCGCATGAAAGCAGCGAGTCCTAGCGTGGCCCGAAGTCCTCCAAGCTCTGAGTAAGGCACAAAACGCTTACGCGCTTACACGCGCCCATGTGCCTACGTCTTCTTTAGTTGCTGGGGCGTGCTTGTCTACTAACCAGGGTGTTGACAGTGTCCAACTGGTGTAACGGGTACTTGCAACACTGATCAAGAGGGAACGCAATCTTTGCCCGGAAACTCAGACACTCAGCCAGTTCTCAGTGCCCTTGTGTAGCAGTATCTTTCGCTTATCTTAACTGAATGCGGACAGGCAACAGCATACGATTGTGGCGGAGGACAGAACAGAACAGGGGCAGGACGATTATTCAACTTTAACCGGCAATAAGTGAAGGGTTCATCTGCCGGTTGTCTGAACGCTGTTAGTAAAACTTCAAAAAAGCGATCAGGAGTGGAATAAGCGTTTCGAGCTCGCACACCGAGATCCGCATCCCGATTCCATAAAACAAGCGCACTGCTAGTTTGCGGACGCTGGGACACCTCGAGCCATTAGCAAAATTTCAGGCAACTCCTGCTCTAACTTAACTACCTCGGCACGCATCTGTCTGTAAACCATAAAACCTGAAGCTGAAACTGCAGATTAGCAATGTCAAGTCTGCTTCGGCAGATATTCCAAATGTCAAACACTACTTTTTTACGAAGTAACATCCCACAAGAAGATTGGAGAAAGGGACGCCAAGTGTCCGCAGTTACTGGACTGAATTTCCGGACCACAGCCTGCTTAAACTGCTTCTCGGCTTCGGTTATAGTCCTGGAAACCCTATACTTAAGATAACTCGAAACGGATAAATTAGGTGGGCTAAGAACTGCAGACTCCAGGGGCTCTTCTCGGTCATTTCACCGACCGTCCAAGACTTCGTTGGGGCAACCGCGCACGGCATGAGCATAAGGTTAAGCGGTTCCTTTTTGTTTAAATTTTGCACGACCACGTACTAGGCGACAAACACAAAAACCGCTTGTTGCAGTAACATGTGTTAGCATAACTGCCCTGAAGGGGGGTGAATTAACTAATCTTGAGCAATGTTTTACTCGAAGCGTCTTGTTTGGAAAAATGGATCAGTTATTTTGACCCCTACAATGCCAACCAGAGCATGGGCATCGTCGATAGTTCACCAGTCGCGTCTCCAAACCCTTCGGTCTAAACCAAACGTAGGCTCATCAGTTAAAGTCCCTGGAGTTGGCCCTACTGACAGAAACTACGAACTAAATTCCACTCGCGGATCAGATCACTCGGCTGAAACTTTCGCAGTCGAGTAGCACAGCACTGTCGAAAGAGATTTTTCTTTAGCATTTGGTGGACGGTACTCTTTAGACGCTATTTTCCCGGGCTGTTCCACATTTCTGCACAGCATCAAAACCACTCACACCGTCAGTTGGGGCACATTCTCTGCCAGTCGGTAGATCACAAACTGTGTCTGTTGGTAAATTGTTATGGACCGCGCCCCAAACTGGACAACGAGTAACCGATCCTATGTGTGGATGTCCGAGACGGTGGAACAAAAGAATATGTGCCTCGTATTGGGGGTGTTAGAGTTAAGGCTAGGGTGCCGCCCTGGAATTTAGCGCAAGGTCACCTGTCATATGGCGTATCTATTCGCACGTCTTACCCTTAAAACTGAACTTTCGTAGTACCTCACTAGAGTTCTGATCACATTGAATGTAAAGAACTGCCAATTCGATCCTTTTGTCAAGGGTTAATTTCATCGAATTTGGCCCCTTCAATTATTATTGCGTGTGTGCAGTTGCCTCCATGCATTTTTCGGTAGGCTAAGCGAATGACGCCGCTACGAAACACACTGATAACTGGCTGCATTTGTGGCAGTCCACTCGGCGTGGCAACATCGACCGAAACCCCCTCGCCTGTTGACCACTGGCGCCGGGTGACTAAACTTTCGGCTGGCCGACACAGTGACGCCGATCGAAGTGTTGGTCTTCATCGATTCGTGGAACTTCGTGGATCTGACGAAAGCCTTCGACACGGTGAATCGTGAAGGACTGTGGAAGATCATGCAGAAATTCGGCTGTCCGGAGCGATTCACTCAGATGGTGCGTCAGCTGCACGACGGTATGATGGCGCGAGTCACGGACAACGGAGCTGTCTCAGAGGCATTCGCAGTGACCAACGGAGTGAAGCAGGGATCCGTGCTGGCGCTTACCCTCTTCAGTCTTATGTTCTCTGCCATGCTGATGGACGCCTACCGCGAAGAACGCCCCGGGATCCGCATCGCCTACAGGACGGACGGTCACCTGCTGAATCAACGGCGGATGCACTTCCAGTCGCGCGTATCCACAACCACCGTCCACGAACTTCTCTTCGCCGACGACTGCGCCCTGAACACCACCTCGGAAGAGGAGATGCAACGGAGCATGGACCTGTTCTCCGCCGCCTGCGAGAACTTTGGGCTGGTTATCAACACGCAGAAGACGGTGGTGATGCATCAACCGCCACCCAACTCAGCCACAGCCCCCAACGCGTCGCCGCAAATCAGCGTGAACGAAACCCAACTGCAGGTGGTGGAGAACTTCCTGTGCCTGGACAGTACCCTTTCCCGCAACACCAAGATCGATGACGAAGTCGCCAACAGGATCTCGAAAGCCAGTCAAGCCTTCGGTCGCCTCCAAAGCACAGTTTGGAATCGTCATGGTTTTCAACTAAGCATGAAGCTAAAGATGTACAAGGCCGTCATCCTGCCGACGCTACTATATGGAGCGGAGACTTGGACGGTGTACACAAAGCAGGCACGCCGACTGAACCACTTCAACCTCAGTTGTCTTTGTCGCATCCTGAGGCTCAACTGGCAGGATCGAATCCCCGACACTGATGTACTGGAACGGACGGGAATCCTCAGCATCTACGCCATACTGAGACAAATACAGCTGCGCTGGAGCGGCCACCTGGTGCGCATGGACGACGAGCGACTACCCAAACGACTCTTCTACGGAGACGTCGCGACGGGTTCTCGCCGTCAAGGAGGCCAGATTCGCGTTACAAGGATACCCTGAAGTCCTCCCTGAAGCGCCTGCAAATCAATCCGACCAACTGGGAAGAGCTCGCCCGCGATCGTCCGACATGGAGGAGAACAGTGAAGACGGGCGCTGCTATCTATGAAGCCAACCGAATCGCCGCCGCCAAAGCGAAACGTGAAGCCCGCAAATCACAACTTCGCCCAGTCCGCAACGCCGCCGCACAAGCGCTTCCAACGTGTCCTCGATGTCAACGGACATTCCGGGCACGAATCGGACTTGTCGGACATCTTCGGATTAACTGCGCCTCTCGAACTGCACCAACCATCGTCCCCCCGCCCGCCTCTTCCTCGTCCTCTCCGCCGCCAACTAACTCTGACAATTCTTCTGACCCACCACTTCCATCCTCCTTCTTCTTTTTCTCCTCCTCC